CCCACCCCTCGCCCCCCGCCCAGACAGGCCTAAATCTCAGGGACTCACTCCCGGGACAGGGAGCCGCTTCCGGCCGTCCCGTCTCAGGGTCCTGGAAGGAAGGGGTCACAGTACTCTCACCCCTCGGCCCTTTTCGAAAATACCTTCCCCCAAAGGGCGCCCGGACGCCCCTGCCCCTGGATCGGCTCGGGGGAACCCCAGCCCCCAGCAGACGGAGTGAAGTTCTGGGTTCTGAACTCCGGGTTGAGCAAGATGCGCTGGTCCCAGCCCCGCGGGGCAGCCTGTAGCGACGGCAGGAGCAGGAGAGAGGGAGGGACTCGGAGTGTGCGTGCACCAGTCTTTTCATATTTAATTTACAAAGGAGCCTCGGAACCCCCGGCCGGGTGGTCTCTTTAGATGCAGCGCTCCTCGCCTGTCTCTCTTCCCCACCCCCTTCCCAGCTCATTAAAATGCTCAACACTCAAATCGGGGTATTGATCTCTGCAGAAGCCCCAAACCCGCGCCATCGACCCACCGCGAGAGGACCCCACGGCCCAGAGTGAGGGTTGGGGGGCCACGTGCGCCCCGAGGGCTCAGTGTCTACGACAAGGACGGGGGGCGGGGGCTCTACACGTCTCCTGGAGCCTGTCCCCCCTGTTTGCTTCTGGTTAGCAGCTCTGTCTCCAGGGCTCTGTTGCGGGGGGTTAGGGGGGGTGGAGGGGGACCGGGTTTTAGCTAAATGCCTCAACATCCCCGCGCCTCCGCCTCCTTATCGCTAAAAGAAATGTCGGGGTTTTTCAGAGAAAGGGAGCGAGAGTCGGGAACAGCGAGTCTGCTCGGGCCGGCTGTTGTGTGAGGGTGTGAGACGGTGGGGCGGTGGCGGGGCGCAGCGGCTTTAGGGGATAGGGTGTATGGGGCTGACGGTGCGTTTGCTTGAGAGGCCGTGAGGATATTGGAGGAGGGGGAAATGCGCGGGCCTTAAGTCCCCAACCCACAGCGCTCGAGAGGAGCAGACGTTTTGTAACCACGCCCGTGTGTGTCACTATCCGCTGCAGCCTCGGTGCCCCATTCGCCCGAAGCTGGCAAGACCCTGAGAGGCGCTTGGGTGCGCTCAGGCTGGCTTCGCAGGAGCGTAGGCTGATAACTGCGCGCCCGCCCCACCCCGAGGTGCGCGCAGGCCGGCGCGTGGCGCCGTGGGCTTCAGGCTCTAGTTTAGCCACAAAAGACAAGACATAAAGAGTTCCGGCTTAAGAGGCCCGGCCGGGCAGGCGGTGGGCTAGGAATGGGGGCGTCCCTTCCCTGCACGCCCTGCAGTGCTGAGCGTTCGCTTCGGGTTAGACTGGCGGGGGGCGGGGGGAACCAGGGTTTGGATCTGCCCAGATCCAGGCAAAAATGGCAGGGAGGGTGAGTCGCTCTGCTAACACTATCAATTATGCATCGTGTTGAACGTGGCTTCGGGGAGGAGGCGGCTAGCAGGGGGTGCGGAGCGAAGCATCCGCGCGAGTCAGGCGGCGCGCGGCTCAGCCGGTCCGGCTCGAGGTCTGTCTGCGCCATCGCGTGCATTTGCAAAAAGAGTTTACAGGCAAAGACGCGCCCGCGCCCGCCCCCTCCCCCTCTTCAGCCACGCGCTTTTCCTTCCCCTAAATTCCTCAAAGATGGTTTGTCTCACGTGTTGCGGGGAGTAAAAGCGGCTGGCATTCAATTAGCAGCGAAGCTCACCGGCGCTGGCGGGACGGGCGCGTGAGGGTGAGTGCGCGTGAACTGTGTGTGTGTGTGTGTGTGTGTGTGTGTGTGTGTGACAGCAAGAACGGCGAGTCCCGGGTGAAAGTGTGCCTGTGAAAATGTGTGAACGTAGCGAGAGCTCAACACATTGACGTGATTATTACATGATGATGGATAATTCTAACGTGTGAGGGTCGACTGTGTGAAGGGTGAGGGTGTGCGTGCACGAATGTGTTTGTCCTGGGGGTCGTGTGATGAGGGATAGTGACAGTGTCAGCTTGTGTGTAAGTGTGGGGGTGGGGGCGTGGATTATGGGGGTGCGATAGGCTGACAAGAGCGGAGGTGAGAGCAGTGGACTTGGGATGTCCCTTGTGACCGACGTGTCTCGGCCTCAGGGAGGGTCCCTATGTCTTTAACAAATGTAGACGATGCAGGAGGTGGGAGAGGCTGTGCGCGTCCCCGCGGAGCCCGGGAGCGCGCGAGGACTCTCTCCAACCTGCAGCCAGCGAGAGGTGGGGGAGAACAGACGCGAAAGGGAAAACTGAAATGGGACTTCGGGGCAGGGGAGTCCCCACACTTACCTGTGTCTTTCTCTGCCCCTCCGTTTTCCCCACAGCCGCAGCAACAGATGCGGGAAGCTCCCTTGCGCTGTGGTCCCGGCTCCGCGACACCGAGTCTGGAAAAGAATTTGCAGCCCGAGGGCAGGGTACTGGGAGTCAGTGAGCAGCGGGTAAGCAGTGGGGACCGCCCCACAACCTCGACGAAGGTAGGGGTATGTCCAGCCTAGGGCCCTGGACTCAGCGGGAGCCGACCTGGAGGAGGGGGGAAGGGGCCCTCCCCCAGGAGCAAAGGCAGTGTGGGGGACTCAGGTTCACAAAGACGCGATGTGGGAGGGTCTCTGCCAAACCTCACGGGCGCCCCAGGTGGGGGCGGGGAGTCTGTGTAAGTGCGTTTGTGTGACTGGGGATGAGGTTTTATGGGGGACCTTCAGACATCCTGGGGCTGTGGAGAAAGGCGCAGAATCTTGAACCTTCTCTGGCCTCATTAGCTAGTGGCAGCTCCCATGACCTGTTGGTGGGTAACCTCTCTGTACCCCTGGGGCCCGCCAGGGCTCTGTGGGAAGCTTTCCTGACTGTTCCCCACCGCACCTGGTGCAGACATTGGGGGAGGACCTCCCTCCCCAGACGGAAGGCTGACCGACCAGCCCAGGTTTTTCCCTTGTGGGAGCTGCACCCCAAAACAGGCGACTTTGGCTGTGGCCAGAGAGGGAATGGGGTATGTTTCTCCAGATCCCATGCCTCAAGCCACCCGCTGCGAGTTCATGGTATTGCTCATCTGTTCGGATTTCGGTCTCAGTGGAGGGCTGTGTGCACGCACAAGTGCGTGCCTGTGTCCCTGTGTGTGGGCCGGTCTGTGTACAGACTTGTGTCCTTGTGTCTGCCAGGTCTCATAATGAACAGGAGAGTGCTTTGCACAGTGGTAGCAAACTCTGCAAAAATGCTGGGTTCAATCAAAGGAACAATAAGGTCTCTAGGGTTTATTGTGTCCATAACCGGGTGCCAATGTGTTTGTGTGTCTATGAACTGTGTTGTGAATCTCCCGACAACGCACTAGGTCCTCTAAACCCTTGCAGAAGTTGGCGATTTGATGGCAACGCCCGAGTGTCTGTTCGCATTGTTGTGCGCCTGCATGGGCGTGTATGCTTGCGAGTGCTGTGCGTGGGACAAAGGGTTCCAGGGAGGACAGCCGGTCACAGACAAAAATATCCTTCCTGTTTATCCATTTCACTGGGTTAAACAAAGGCTTAGAATCACAGAGAGGGGTCAGCGCGGAGCCCACTGAAAACAGGCGAGCAGGGGAGCCTATGAAGGGGCCGGCTCCAGGGTGAGCGGATATGTAGGGAAACAAGAGCGAGGTCGGGGCCGCTGGAAAAGGAAGTCAGAGTCCTGCGAGGTAGCATCCATTGAACCCTGAGACTTTTATTGAGCTCCACTCATGCCAAAGAGAGGCTCCTGGACGCAGAGGAGGTTACCAGATTTGCGCTAGACGGGTTTGCGGAAACGAGCTTGCGGAGGTAGCGCTAGATAGGGGAGGAAAATTGGAGTTCGGTGAGTCACCTTCTCCCATCTTCCCTCGGCTTCCACCTGCAGGAGCCGCGATGGTGCCCCTTCGGGCCCTGTGGTTGGCCTGGGCTCTGCTAGGAGTGGCCGAAGCGTGTCCAGAACCGTGCGCCTGCGTGGACAAGTATGCTCACCAGTTCGCGGACTGCGCCTACAAAGAGCTGCGCGAGGTGCCCGAAGGACTGCCAGCCAACGTGACCACTCTTAGTTTGTCCGCCAACAAGATCACCGTGCTACGGCGCGGGGCTTTCGCCGACGTCACGCAGGTTACGTCGCTGTGGCTGGCGCACAATGAGGTGCGTACAGTGGAGCTGGGCGCGCTGGCGGTGCTGAGCCAGCTCAAGAACCTCGACCTGAGCCACAACCTCATATCCAGCTTCCCGTGGAGCGACCTGCGTAACCTGAGCGCGCTGCAGCTGCTCAAAATGAACCACAACCGCCTGGGCTCGCTGCCCCGGGATGCACTCGGAGCGTTGCCAGACCTGCGCTCCCTGCGCATCAACAACAACAGGCTGCGTACGTTGGCGCCTGGCACCTTCGATGCACTAAGCGCGCTGTCACATCTGCAACTCTATCACAACCCCTTTCACTGCGGCTGCGGCCTTGTGTGGCTGCAGGCTTGGGCAGCAAACACTCGGGTCTCGTTACCGGAGCCCGACTCCATTGCGTGTGCCTCGCCTCCCGCGCTGCAGGGAGTACCTGTGCACCGCCTGCCCGTCCTGCCCTGTGCCCCACCTACCGTGCGTCTAAGTGCAGAACCGTCGCCTGAGGCGCCTGGCACCCCCCTGAAGGCGGGTTTGGCGTTCTTGTTACACTGCGTTGCCGAAGGCTACCCCACGCCCCGCCTGCAATGGCAACTTCAGATCCCGGGTGGCACCGTAGTCCTAGAGCCTCCGGTCCTAAGTGGGGAGGACGAGGGGGACGCGGAGGTGGATAGGGAGGGGGAAGGAGATGTGGACTATCAGACGCAGACCGAGGCCCCAACCCCAACTCCGGCACCCGCTTGGCCAGCACCGCCAGCCACCCCGCGCTTCCTGGCCCTAGCAAATGGCTCCCTGTTGGTACCCCTCCTGAGTGCCAAGGAGGCGGGCGTCTACACATGCCGTGCACGCAATGAGCTGGGTGCCAACTCGACCTCAGTACGCGTGGCGGTGGCGGCAGCCGGGCCCCCAAAGCACGCTCCTGGAGCGGGGGGAGAACCGGATGGGCAGGCCTCGACCTCGGAGCGCAAATCCACAACCAAGGGCCGAGGCAACAGCGTCCTGCCCTCTAAGCCCGAAGGCAAAACCAAAGGCCAAGGCCTGGCCCGGGGCAGCGTCTTCGGGGAGACAGAGATAGAGGTGGAGCCGGAGGAGGAGGCAGGTGAGGGAGAGGAGGCCGAAGGCCAGATCCCTGCGGATCCGGGGGAGGAGCAGCACTGCGGCCATGGGGACCCCTCTCGGTACGTGTCTAACCACGCGTTCAACCAGAGCGCAGAGCTCAAGCCGCACGTCTTCGAGCTGGGTGTCATCGCGCTGGACGTGGCGGAGCGCGAGGCGCGGGTGCAGCTGACACCGCTGGCGGCGCGCTGGGGCCCTGGGCCCGGCGGGGCTGCAGGAGCTGGGCGGCCCGGGCGGCGGCCCTTGCGTCTACTCTATCTGTGTCCAGCGGGAGGCGGCGCGGCAGTGCAGTGGTCCCGCGTGGAGGAGGGCGTCAACGCCTACTGGTTCCGCGGCCTGCGGCCAGGCACCAACTACTCTGTGTGCCTAGCTCTGGCGGGCGAGGCCTGCCACGTGCAAGTGGTGTTCGCCACCAAGAAAGAGCTGCCCTCGTTGCTGGTCATCGTGGCAGTGAGTGTATTCCTCCTGGTGCTGGCCACCGTGCCGCTGCTGGGTGCCGCCTGCTGCCATCTGCTGGCCAAACACCCGGGCAAGCCCTACCGTCTTATCCTGCGGCCTCAGGCCCCCGACCCCATGGAGAAGCGCATCGCCGCCGACTTCGACCCACGTGCCTCCTACCTCGAGTCCGAGAAAAGCTACCCGGCAGGCGGCGAGGCGGGAGGCGAGGAACCAGAGGAGGCCCCGGGGATGGGCCTCGACGAAGATGCCGAGCAGGAGGACCCAGATGGGGACCTGCACAGGGAGGAGAGCCTGGCGGCCTGCTCACTGGTGGAGTCCCAGTCCAAGGCCAACCAAGAGGAGTTCGAGGCGGGCTCTGAGTACAGCGATCGCCTGCCTCTAGGCGCAGAGGCGGTCAACATCGCCCAGGAGATTAATGGCAACTACAGGCAGACGGCGGGCTGAACCCCCGCCTGCCGGGCCCGCCGATCCCACCCCCACCTTGGGTGCTTGGGATCAGCAGCGTGGGGCAGGCAGGACTTATGCACCCCGCCCCCAACCTTCACTTGCTCCGCCCCCTAACCACTCCCTTCTGGAGGGGAATGGGCCCAGTTCACCCGGCTCCAGCCAACTACAGCCGTAATCCTCCCCGAGGGCTGAATCCTCCTCCCCCCACGCCCCAGCCCAGCCAAGCACAGTGTCCCTCTCCTTTCTTCCGGTATAAGACGCCACCCATTGACTGTAACGCGAAATCTACGCCCCTCCATTCCCATCGCGATTATCTGCGAAATCCGCCCCGCGGGCTGCCCCACCGTGGACCCTGGAGCCCGAGGAAACGGGCGAAGACGTTGGAAACGTCTGGTGGTAGCGCTAGGGTTCCGTGGCCAGCCCGGGAGCCCCAGTAGATCTCCCCAGCATGGAGCGCTGCAGCGCCCAGCCTCGACCCCCACTCCGTCCTTCGGGGTTGCACTCCCAGAATCCGGGATTGGTGGCGACCCCTACTTTTTAGTTTCAAAGACCCCTCCTGATAGGGAACCAAATCCTTCTGTATCCCCATCCCTACCGCTACCCACCTCTGTCCTGCTCGAGCCGAGCCCGGTGCCTGGGGCGTCTTTCAGCTCCACTTTCACAAACAGTGGCATTCCGGGTCTGGTGCTAACACCTCCTTCCCAACCCTTGGGAAAATTGGGGGG